TTACTTTTAAAAATCGGTAACTAGTAACGGTAACTTGTTACTTTTCCTACTCGGTAACAAGTAACTGTAACTTGTTACTTTTAAAAAGTAACTTTCCATTCCCTGCATATATATATATATACATATATATTTTTTAAAAATAACTGAAATTTAATTATTAAAGATTATTCAATTTTGTTCAGTCTTTCAATTTTTCAATATTTTTTTCAATTTCTCAATATCTATTATTTGATATATTATGTTTGTTTAAGATCTCAATTTTGCATCTTAATATTTTATTATTAAATTATACTATTTCAGCACTATTGAGCACAGACAAGATCAAGAAAAACTACCAAATATAAGTAACATTGACGAAAGCTTGGAAGATATAAATGCTTTACTAAAAAGACAATCACTAGAAAGATATCCTTCGAAATCCATTTTAGGATCTCCTATCACGTATTTTGAATTTTTTGTTGTTGTCTAGTAAAGAGCTAAACATAACGATATTCTAAGTGTGTATTTAACAATTTTTATAAATAGATATTTGTAAATCATTAATCGAAAGTTTGAAAAAAGCATAAAATTATTTATTGCTTTGTTTAACAAATTTTACATAGCTCTTTCTCCTATGAAACTTAGCATATTGTTATCTCAATTTTATCATTTATTAAAAAATTGTTTGATATAATAAAAATATTGTTTTACTAGTAGCTCAAATGGGATTTTGGAACCCGAACTTACAAGTAAAGATATTTTGGCTCAATTAGAAGTTTTTTGGTTTAACGAACCGTGTGTCAAGTTCAGTCAGCTTATTCCAAAGGATATATTTACAGCAGAGGATGCTGCTGATGCTTTTAATATACTTCTCGGTAAGTGTTACTACGTTTGTAATATGTTTACTACATTTAAATTATATTTACATTAAAAAAAATTAAATAATAGATAATTTTATCTTATTTTCTTATTTTATTTGCTTAATATTATACAATTCGTTCATAGAGTTGCATGCACAAAAAAAGCTTATTCTGCAGCAGGCTGAGTGTTTTCGTACTCTACGAATTTGGAAAATGGGAAAGTAAAATTAAATAATTAACTAATATAACTGAAGCATCGTATACATTTAATTATAATGTTAATTTTATAAAATTTAATTTAATATCATATATATTTACATCGTGGAATTTATTTATATTATTTTTAATGAATAGTAATTTAAATTTTCTTACTTTTAACTTGTTCACGGAAGAAGAAAAATGCGAGACGCTATTAACTTTTAGCAATTTGAGGAAAAATGATTGCAACGTTTTCTTGAATTATTATTGTTACTTTTATTTAGTGAAATACTTCATGTTTTAAAGTATTTAACGTTTTAATAGAATGGAAAAAATTTGATCTGCAATACTTATTTTATATGTATATTTGTTAAATTATCATTTTATTTTTATTATTTTTACAAGTACTGCAAATTATCATTACTGTAATATATTATTTAGTAATATACCTTATGTTAAAACCTTTGATGTTTCAATGAAACAGAGAAAGATTTAATACGCAATATTCGTCTATACGATGTATATGCATACATTATTTTTACGTATTTATGAGCGTGAATTTATTCTTTTAACCATGCTAGAAATTGTTGTGCATTGATTATAAAAATTGCGATATTTTAATAAGAATACAAGAGATGAAATGTTTATTTTATATATTCAAGAGATTATAAATATATCCATAAATATTTATACAAGTATCGAAATCAGCAATGAGACACTTCTAGCACAATTAAAATATAAAACAATAAATTATATTTTGCAGTTTTTATTTTACATTTAGCCTGATTCTGTTTATGCTTATGACTTAATAGAATAATTAGATCCTTTAGAAATTAAACCATTAAAGAGATCTATTGAGAAAATTGAAACAGGGAATATTGATGATTCAGACATACAGTTCAAATTATAAGAAAGATTTAAATGATATTAGAAAGTTGAGAATTTGAATAATTTTTAATAATTGAATTTCTATTTTAACAGCTTCTCAAATGTGATTATTAATGATTTTATATTTCTCGATGTAACAGATTGTTATCTAATAACTAATAAACATATTAAAATTAATGATTTTGTTGATAAATTTGACTGCCAATGAATTTCACGGATTGTCTTTTTATCAAAAAAATCTGGAGACACTGGTAGTGGCGCTAAGCCAAGCGCAGCGACACTGCCGTGGATACTATACGCGAATCTGTCAAGATTTCCAGACGGCGATTATGGGATCTCAATAACGGCTGTCCCGATTGAGTTCTAAGTGTGCTCAATCGATGGCATCCGCTCGGAATATATAATGAAAGTGTTTTTGTTTTTTTCTCTACGTGCTCTACGAGCGGAGATATTGCGATGTAAAATGATGCAAAATCCGAAATTGAAACTTTTCATTTAAGAAACGTCATCGTCGTCGTCGTCGACAAGGCTATGGGGTGGGGGATATGACCTTTTGGATTTTTCGGCGCTAGAGGTAAATATGGCGCTGGCAATGTGCATGGTCACATCACACATGTGTCCGTTTTCTGTGGCTGATGATTAGGTTAGGAAAACTGTCACATTGATGGCATAGGGTGCTTTCCAGCAAGGACACAATCAAACACAATGTAACACAGGGTGCTTTCCAGCAAGGACACAATCAAACACAGTGTAACACAGTGAATCGTTTCATCCTTGTTTAACGTAAGCAAACAACAAGGATATATGATTCACTGTGTTA